GTATTCGGACACATTTAAAGTATTTTTGCTATTCTGAATGTTGAGTATTGGTGTGAGAGATGCGAACATATTGAGAATAATAATTTTCTCATTTTTATAAAGCGCAGTTTTACTAACCAGTTTCTCAGAACCAAATTCATGAACGCTCGCAATTTTCAATAACGAACTTTTCCAACAACTACCGGAAAGTAAGTATAATTCTAATTTAAAACACTAGCGGACCGGTAGGCAATCATTGTAGGTGAAATACTACAATTCAGTAATAATTTATAACTCTTTCGCGTTATGAAATAGAGCTTAATCTTGATATTGTCCACCTCGATATGATTTTATTTCAGCAATTGTTTCTTAAATCTTCAGATTTATAAATATACCGTATATACTATTTTTTTGACATCTTAGTTCTAGGATTGCAGTGAAGAAAATCACAATTTTTCTTAGTGGCACGCTTCGTGTTTTAATGCACTTCATTAAGCTTTAAGGTGGCTGAAAATGCAAAATCATTTAACTAACCTAACCAAAACGTTTTTAGTGAAATAATTGCTGGTAATTTGTTGAATACGTCAATGATACTAACGCATTATAAAACACATAAACGCGGAAAAAATAAATAAATGAATACTTCATGTCGTAGTCAATTACTGACCATTTGAAATTGATTAATATAAATTTCTGGCTCTAATTTTTTCAAAACCACTTTATTAGTTTAGCTTTTTTTTAAATAACACATTTGAACAATAATTCGAGCATAGGATAATTCCTAACAATTGCGTGTGATACTTTTCCACAAAATACACTTTCAACTCAAAAAAAGAAGAAAAGGCGATATAATTTTTGTTTATCAATTAGCATTACAATAAGGAACCCTTTATGACTGCTAAGTGCAACTCGCAGCGTGTTGCATATTAATCGCCACAAGATTTTATGATGTAGCAGTAGCGGTGTCTGAAATCCTGGTAGCAACCGAAGCACTATCTCTTGATTTTCAAATTGATGTTTTGTTGATCTCTTTGTTAATTTGAGGGAGTTAACAATAAAAAATCGAAAATTTACATGAAGTTCTCAAACACATTTCCATTATTTTTTATACATAGTTGTGACCTTATTCTAATTCGCCCTATTAACTCTTCTGGATAATATATTTTATGGCATGAATAGAATTACAATAGAGATCATAATCTAGTGGGTTTAAGTCAGGTGACCAAGCTCGCGAATTTACTGGGTCACTCGATCTATCCACTTGTTTTCAAAATTTTCATCTAACCAGTTTCTGACACCTTACCGTATAGGAATATTCACTAACAATTATGCCGGATCATTGGGAAATTTCAATTTATTCAATTATTTAACGTATTACCATTGATACCTGCCCAAATATTGAAAGAACACCTTTGTTGAAACTTAGTTCTTCGAGGCCTATGTCAGGGCTGTGATGAATAAGTGAGATTGAACAAACTAAACAGTGTATTTTTCTCGAAAAAGAATTATCGATATCAATTAAATGTAGTGTTTTCGCATAACAGATGACTTTTCCATTGCGCTCCACTCGTGCCAAATAAACCCGTGATCCAAATGCTGTTTACCATGATGCATGAAATCTGAATTGCCTTTTTGTTAAAATGATTCTTCATCTTTAAGTGCCTATCGGTTTCGCATGGGGCTTTCGAAATCATGGCTATTCGCACTTTTTCCACTGCCATACAAATGAATGGAACTCTTACCAGATCAGGTTGTTTTATTGACCGTGAATATAAAACAAACTTATTAAATTATTGTTTTAAATGTGAATTCACATTTACCATATCAAAAGTACTTAAAAAAAGCGATCTCATGGAACTGTCAAAATAAATCGTCGTAGCTACTAAGCCCAGAATATTGCAAAATGTGAAAAACTTAAGGGGTTGATTCCATGTTTGGCGTTGGGTCAAAAGTCAACCACCGCGCTACAAACATGGCGGAATAATAAAGTTTTTATTTTTTATCAAATTAAAAAACAATAAAATATTACGGAAGTATTCCTCTTATAAAAATACATTTTCTGCATTTTTTTTTGTTTCTTTTAATAAATCAGTTGTTTAAAAAATGACTTCACAAAATTCAAACTTTTTAATTTAATTTGGAAAAGGTTTGAATTGCATTCCTTGAGAAACTGGCTTGGCGCGAAAAGAGAATTTTTGAACAAAAAAAGAATCATCGGTATTCATTCTCCGAAACCATTGGGAAAATATCATGTATATATATATATATATATATATATATATATATATATATATATATATATATATATATATATATATATATATATATATATATATATATATATATATATATATATATATATATATATATATATATATACATGATATTTTCCCAATGGTTTCCGAGAATGAATACCGATGATTCTTTTTTTGTTCAAAAATTCTCTTTTCGCGCCAAGCCAGTTTCTCAAGGAATGCAATTCAAACCTTTTCCAAATTAAATTAAAAAGTTTGAATTTTGTGAAGTCATTTTTTAAACAACTAGATATAATACGTTACCGCAAAAACGTTGCACAATTAAGCCGAGTAAATGAAAAATGTTTAAAATATCTCTCTGTTGTTTAATCAAAATTAGGTGTTGTTTATTTTTACAACGCAATTACTAAATTGAGGCGAAGAGATTTAGTGCCAGGCGCGCAGTAAATAAATTTGTTTAATATACGTCGTCTCCGGTTCCACCCGTGTTAATGTATTTTCAGTGAGATTTGTTAAAACACCTGAAACGAAAAAGAAATTCACTGTTCTTAAGAACCTTACATGTTACATTTTATTTCTAGTTCATACAGGGTGTTTAAAAAAAATGGGAAAACTTAAGGGTGTAAGTAAGTATAGTCAGTGAACAACACGGCCTTAAGATTAACACAAACAAAACAAAAGTGATGGTTATTTCTAAAAATAAAATTATTAACAACAATACTAAGAGGTTCTGTCAACAATAAACAAAGAGTTGGAAATTCTTGACACAATTAAGAGGGAGGAAACATTGGAATTTCTTTGTCACATTTCCCGCAACGAAAAATATAGCATACCATTTTACAACTAATAATGTAAAATTGTGGGACGGAGCAGCATAGGAAGACGTCAGATTTCCTGGTTGAGGAACCCTCTCTTTCATAAAAATTCATAAATTGACCCAAACCCGGCTGGTACTACTTGCACTCGGTAAACATAAAGAAATTTGCAATGGTAAACTGAATCAAATATTCGTTGGGTCACTCTGTAGTTTTTTTGCATACCTAATGAGGTTTTTATACTCTACACCTTGCTGAAATAAACTGCAAATTACGAAACGATTACGTATTGCACGGGTTACAACTTTTTCGATCTTTGTCATATCAGCTTAATCCAAACAATACACGCGCTCACGAACTAGGCAATTAATGTTTATTATCGGGATATTAAAGTTTTGTTGCGACTATAACAAAGTGAGTATATTATTAACTGGAAATGGTGTCAAGGTTTCCGGTAGAACAAATAAATTAAAATGGCGTTAAGCAAATTAGGTGCCAGTTGGTATTCTCGACACTTGCATGTATTTTTGTTAAAAACACTTGATACATCTTTCTCTTAATCTGACTGCCAAACTAAATGTTAAAAAGCTACTTACAATCTGTCGCTCAACCTTCGTTAAGCCGAAATCACTCTCAGAAATTCAAAACATTTAAATTACTTAAACTTAAACAATATGTAATGAAAGCGGCTTGACGTGGTTAAAAATTTAGTGGTCATTCTCGACTCTTGAACTGTTTGAGTCTCCTATAGAAGCTATCATTGGGAAAGCCTTGTGTAGATTATGATTTATTCTGAAAACTACTGAAGGCTTTAAGAACCCAGCTTCTTTAATTACATTATATTGCAGTATGGTAAGAAGTGTTTTGAAGTACTCGGCAACAATTTGGAGTCCTATGTTACTGGCAACTACTGATGGGTCTATTTGTCGTACTCTTAAGGCTCTTTTATGTTTTTTTGGCTTAGTTGATATTTCTGTTCTCTAATATATTCTTTGCCGCATGTGCATCCGAGACATTGTTCATTTTCGTCCTTTAGCTTCGCCCCTTCAAACGGTAAATAGGCAGGTGCAGAGAAGAATGCAAACCAGTTTCAATTAAGCTCTGTAAATAGTATTGAAATATTATCATTCTGTATGCAAAATCTCCAGGATTTCATCTACGAGGCTTTTAGAAATTACATAAAACCCTTCGGGCCCAGAAAACCTCCATATGGTTATTGGGTTAACTACTACTAGATGATAATTTGAACGCCGAGGATTGCTGGGAGAGGAACGGTCACAAAATAATCTAGATCCACATCAGCTGATCACTGCCCCAGTACTTTGCCCAACTTAACCATTTCAAAATCAATAATGGCAGAACGCACTACTGCATCCATAACTTTTGAATAATTGACAGCCCCCACTTTCATACTGCAGCCGAATACCCTCTAACGAAGGCAGAATATCCGATCTACTGCCTCCACGAAGCTGACCGAGGAGCTATAAAATCGAGAGCTGGAACTAGGGTTCGACTTTGAACTTACTTTTTTTACTTTTTTACTTATTTTTTGTCTTCATTGTGATCTAGTGTTGTGTGTTATACATACATACCTCATTCATTTGACTGTAAGTTTTGTCCTTTTGCTTTTATTCTTTGATTTGTGTGTTATTTTAGTGCAACCTTAGTTATTCAAGTTTCACTTAACTTGTAGCCATTGCATACAGGATGATTATATTTCAATATTATTTACAGATTCGCATTCTTCTCTGCACCTATATATATATATATATATATATATATATATATATATATATATATATATATATATATATATATATATATATATATATATATATATATATATATATATATATATATATATATATATATCATCTTTTTCCTAAAATGAGTTACTTTATCATTGTTCTGCTCCAAGCAGCAAGCAAGTGACATTTATTTTTGTTTGCAGAACGAAACCGCGGAGAAACAGGTTCAAAGGAAATCCCTAAAGAAGAAAGACTCGCTAAAGTCGAACTCCAAGCCAGACTCTAACCTGGAGGAGAAATCAGCAGTCAAAATTCAAGCGGGAGTTCGGGGATTTTTGGTTCGCAGGAGACAAAAGAAAGTCAATTCTTCGCCTTCAGCGTAATCGAATATTAAATAAAAATGCCATCCTTGTGTAGTATTGTTGGTGCGGGGCCAAATGTGTTAAATATTTTCGTGGTGGTTTTTTACCCTAAATCATTGCCACTATCAATAATTCAATTTTAAGTTACCCTTTGAAGAAAGGAGGTAAAAAAAATGTTTTTTCCAGTGTGTGTACGTAAATTATTGAGGATTCGTTTATTTTCCTTTCCGGCGCAATAAAATGCGTCTCTTTTTTATATCCCGCGTGCGGTTTTACACAGGAAATTATTTCAAGGCACGCTATTTACGAAAAATGTATTTACGGATTAGCCAAATTTTCCGTTGTCGTTTTATATAACGCATTTCTAACATTGCAGTGCAGTTAATTGGAAGATTAAAATAAACCTGCGCAGTTTGGTCTTAAGAATTTTCCTTTATTAGTTTTCACATTGCTAGAAATATAATTTGAAGCATTTTGTGGCCCAATATTTCGTTGTAGCACAGAAACAATCAGGTCACTTCGAACATAGTTAAAAAAAAATAAATACAGTGTGTTTCTAAAATAAATTTTATTCTGTTATATAAAAGTAGGGTTGAAAGGCTGCTACAAATATAGCGGAAAAATAATGTTTTAATTTTTTTGTCTCAAAAACGAAAAACATGGGTGGAGGAGATTGAATTATTCTCCTTATCTAAATTTAAAATTATGTTATTTAGAAACTTTTTTTTCTTCTGTAATTTTTTCATAAAACATTATTTTAGAAAAATAATTTTGTTTGGTGCTGTGAAACAGTTGTTTTTTGTACGAACATTTATCAATTACCTAAACTATAACCTAAAATATAATTTATAACTAAATATTTCTGAAACATTTAATAATAGATGCCTGCCTTGCATTTATGCTTCCAAGCAACTTCCGTTTGCACGGCCGTACATAAAATGCATATCTGCCATTTCTGCATTACAGTACTTCACCGTTATTGAATTAAAACTCTTATTATACATTGTTCATTAAATTAGTTGTATTTTCTATTCGAACTAATTGACCAATATCAAATAAAGCTATAATAAGCGCCTAAAGAAGTGACAGCAGCTCACTAGTTTTTTATCTAATAATTTTTTCATCTCATTGTGCGTTGCTTTAGATTTAATTTTTTTATTTGGAAACTGTAACTATTATGAAAAAATTGCAGAAGAAAAAATGTTTCCAAATAAAACATAAATTTATTACTAGTTAAAAAGGAAGATATGGGTAGTCTAATTCAATCCAACCAAGTGTGTTTTTATGATAGTAATACTTCCGTAATATTTTATTGTTTTTTCTACTTTCGTTTTTAAGATGAAAATAAAAATATTATTTTTTCGCCATATTCGTGGTGCGATATCTCCCTAATTGTTGGCTTTTGACCCACCATTTATATAACAAATTGCGCTTAATTTTAAACAAGTTTTTCGCATTTGTTTTGAAACACATTAGGGAACATTTCTTATTAATGAGTTTTAGCAAATTTTGATTCTGAGGATACATCGAAAATAATAAATAAATCATTTTACCTCTTCGAATTGTAATAAAATTAATTAAACCTTATGTGGTTTTGTTGTTCTTTCTCTATTAGAATATTCAGCATACTTTTAATTTCTCGGTGCAGTGGCATATATTTGTTACCCTTGTAATGTTAACAAAAGAGAACGTAAGTGAGCAAGTACATCGATTAACATCTTGTTCATATAAGTAGTTTCATTCCTATCAGTTTAAATTAGTATACACTAAACAAAAGTTATGTCGGAAAAACCTGACCAGAAAGATAAGTTTGTCCTAAAATACGTGCATTTGTAGAAAAAAAAAAACAAACAATTTAACCTATTTTTTTAAATTCTTTATAAAATATGTCAGTTTATAAATCCTTTGAAGCACAACCAATCCCTGGATCAACATTTGATAAAACTGATTTATATCAAAAACAGATTTGATGTGGACTTTTGTGGTGAAACTGTAATAAAAAATATTCCTAGCTTATATGATTTTTGCCAATATATTAAACCCACATTTTATTGATTGAATTTGTTCGTAAAATATTCTACCAGCCAAAAATTTATTTTCCGGCAAATGCAATCCCGGATAGTGGCAAAAACGTATTTTCTCAGAGCATCAATTATCGTTAAACAAAAGTTTCTGTCAACTAACTGGAAAATGCTTTAAGTTAAAACGCAATAGGGCATTTAAAACGTATCGTTATAAGAACGTGAGCATTTATTGTTGTGTTGAATGGTTGCTCAGCAACATGATTTATAACTTTGCTTCTCCCAGTTGAACGATTGATTTTAAACTACCAAATCTAAACTAGTTAGTCGTAGTTCATGTAATATAGTTATATTTAGCGCATAGGTTGTAGCGTCCTTTATTAACTTCCAAGTTCATTATCACGCTTAGATATTAAAATATATATTTCTAGTAATTAATAAATAACATTTAGGTGGCTTTTATTTCATTTTTTCCATTAATTACCTAATATTTTAGATTTATGTATAATACCTCATTTTCAAGGCTGACGTTTCGGCTGCAGCTTATGAACTTGTGTTGTGATTTTTTTTATAGACAAATTCGCTCTGTAATACGCAGCGGCTCTGAAAATCTGCGATTATATCGGTGAAACAGAAACAATGAAAATGTATATTTTTTATATATATAGTTAACGACTAAAATATTGAACAAATTCATTTAAAAATCACAAAAGAAAAATGATGACATAAGTCCGTCATAATAATTTTTATGCATTTTTGCAGTAAACAGAAAATATACAAGGTCAAAAAGTAAACCAAAACTAACAAAGTTCCCTTTTTTTAAATAGAACACATTTTTTTGAATCCGTTTTTGAATTCGGTGTCAATTTTTACTCAAAATTCGTGTAGCATACCTTCGAAAATCGATTAAAAATAGAAACTTGTTATCGACATCTAAAAATGCGCAAAAAAAACGAGTATTTTTCTTGAAATCAAATATCCGATTTTTAAACGAAATTGTTACATATTTTGGCCGTGCACTGTATATGCTTCTATACTCAAACATTAGATAAGGATTCCAAAATAAAAGCAAGTAAACATGAAATGTTCAATCAATTGAATATAATATTTAGAAACTTTGACAGAATATTAATTAATAGTGTAAAAGTTCCCGGAAAGGTCATAATGGATGAAAAGGAATGTAGTAGTTCTAGTTTTGATAAATTTGATTATTTCTCCTTAACAATGTGGACAAATATAGAAAAATATTTTCATTAATTATAGATCAAAACTATTTTTATTACTCCCTTCTGTAAACTGCCTAATTATACACCGATCCAGCGTGCGGAAAGTGTCATTTGACTACGTCAGTTTCGTTTCCCACGGATTCGCGCCGCTTCGGAAATTAGTAGTGTGTGGGGGAGGGGGGATATCACGGTTTTGGCGGCAATGGGATGCTTTCGGAGACATTGAATTTTGACGTTGGTCAATTCTGAGGGTCATGTCAGTCAAAGCATTCGTGTTGTTTTGCATAAGTGTAATGGTCGTAGAAAAAGCATAGTATGAAACACGTTTGGTAAACTTCTGAAGTCACTCGCTTATTAAACACTCACTGCGCTGCGCTCCGCCCGTTACAAACTCGTCACTCAATTGCCGTTTACCACACTTTTTGCATAATATGCTATTACTGTACTATACTTTGTACAGCTGTTTTGTACACGTTTCTTTTGAATTATTCCACAAATAAAGTCCAATATTGTAAGATCTGCATCTCGCTGGGTAATGTCACGCGATTGTTGAACATTTCAACTCTTTTGACAATTTCATGGCTACCCAAGGAAAAAAAATTACAGAAACATTTATATTGGAATTCCTAATATTTAGGTATACGGACATGAATTGTAATTGTAATTGTTCTCCACATTAGTTGATAAAATATATTTTTTCATTTTTTGACATAATACCTACATCCTAGTTTTTAAGTGATGCCGTTCTTTTATTTCACCAATCGAAAAAGTGTTCGAAAGAAAAAATAAAATAGAAAAGTTGCTTAGTTTCATTTGGATTTTATAATTTTAATTTTTTTCATATATACAAGGCATCTCGATCATCAAATACCAGCTTTCTTATATTAAATTGAACACTCTGTATATTATTGCATTTTTTAGATTTTCAGGAAAACTCTAGATGTATTTCATGTATAATATTTAATTTTAAGTTGATGACATTTGCAAGCCCTAAACTAATAACAATTTTTATTTCCAGGGAGCCTTAATTATCTAATTTGTATACCTTTCTCGTGGAAAAGAGCTATTGTCATATATTGAGTGGATATTTTGGAAGTTTATTAATACAGGGTGAGCAAAAATGAAGTATAAAAAATAAATTAAGCATAAAAAACGTTTTTCAAATAGAAAACCCCAATTTTTATAATTTCCGATTTGAAATTAAAAATTAAAGTGACTGTATAGGATTGTCTATTGCGGAAATCATTGTCCCCTCTAGTTCTCAAAAAAGATAATTAGGATTAAAGTTCAATTTTCAAATTGTACTGTAACGCTGAAGATGGGGGTCATGTGACTTACTTTCGGAAATTTCTTTATTTGCTTTTAAATTGCTAATGTTGCACAACTATGCTCCCTCAAATCACGTTAAATTCTTCTAAAAATTGTTTTATCGGAAATGTCTCTTTGTGAATATTTTCGTCCTCTTGTGGTTAGTTTTGTTGTTTTTAGAATAATAATTACATAGTTTCAACCTTTCATGTTTTGAATTAGGGTTTTAATGGAAAAAATCAGATTAATTAAAACAAATAATCAATCACCGACTCGTGTCACACTAATAAGATGGTGTTTTGTAAAGTGACGATAAATTTCCTCAATAGACCATTTTCTACAAGGTAACCTTAATTTTTAATGCCAAATCCGATACAACATTAAGAATAGGAGGTTTCCATTTGAAAAATTTTTTTTAACCTTTTAGATATTTTAATTTTTTTGCTACATTTTTGCCCAGCCTGTATTAATTTACATCCAAAATATCCACTGAATATATGATAATAGCCCCCACCCAAAATTAAATACGAATAATTGTTAATTATTTTAGGGCCTGCAAACTTCATTTTTGACATAAATCCACCTGCTATAAATTACAAGAAAAATCACGATTTGAACGAATCTGCAGCAGTTTTACTGAATTTATAAAAAGGGAGAATTGATGTGGAACACCCTGATGAGGAACAGAATCGAAGAAAACAAAATTTTATACAAATTTGCTTTTCATATTTATTAAAGCTATTTTTATACAGTGGAAATAAATAATATACAGTAAGTATCACGTTTCGCTTGATTTAAATTTAGACAGTAGCGTAACCACAATACAGACTAATACAACAACCTAATGAAAAAAGCGATATTATAACAATATGGCAACCCAATAAATTCCGTTTCAAACAACATTTTTGTGAAATATATAATTGTCCGCCTTCGATTCCAACATCCCAACGTCTTTTAGTCGGTCATTTGTCTACTAAATGAATGCGAGAAAGTGTCGTTTTTTATCACAATCCTTGCGTAAATTAAATTGAGATCCTTCTCTACGATATAGGTCTTACTTAAGTAGAAAAAAAAATAATTGTCCGTGCGGTGAGCTATTATGAGGGGACGTCCGAAAACAGCCGTTTTCAGGACACATAGCGACAAAATATGAACAAAATGAAACACAGAGGGCGTTAAAAAAACATGGGCAACAGATGCGATTCGTAACGATGAGGTATCGAAATAAAAATCACAGAAAGGGCAGTTACGCCACCGTTAATACTGTTTTGTTCCGACGAGATCCGTTTGTTGTTTGTCCTAGCGTCCTTCGTTGTAGCATTGTAGCGTTTGTATCGAACAGCCGTGGCATCTCTCGTCCGGTTTACACATCATGCCCTCACCGCATACGCCCAGAATGTTAAGTCGCCCACCACATCTTTCGCCCGGGCCCTGAAACAAGGAAATGAATTTTAGAAAGGATCACCATTTCTCAATATTTACAGTATTTTATTTTATATTATACATGATATTTCTAAAAGGCGTATGATGATAACAAAATTACTGTCTTGGTTTTACTTGATTTGAGCAAAGCCCTTGATGATAAATCATAAAATCCTCATTTCAATTCTGCATCATAAGATTCATAATCCTTTTAAAATCATAAGAAATCAGAAAGTAATACTTAACGAATCAAGCTTTAGGCCTTTGATTGTTAGCGACGGGTGCCACTATTCTCGGCTGATATTAGGAGAGCAGCGTATTCATGCCTTGTTTAGTTAATATAGAGAAAGAGACAGATCGAATTCAAAAATTTCAATCTCCGGTCTTGGGCTGGTATATAGAGTTGGACGTAGAACTCATATTTCACCATATCTGATTAGGTCAGGCTGGTTGAATATGTTCAATCGATATAAACTTCACGCCCTACTTTATTGCAGAATCATTCAATATGCGACCCCGTTCTATCTGTACAACAAAATTAGATTTCCTGCTCTCCTCCTTACAGTGTCACGACATCGAAGAGAATATTTGTAAATGCCTTTGTCATACGAAATCGTAAATATGATTAATGAATATGTCTGCTAAATATACTTTTCTTGGACGCTATGGGCCCTGAAAAATAAATCGGAAAGATTTCATTTTCGTTTCTACTTAATTAAACCTTTACTTAGACACTTCTTTGACCGTAATTCTCTCTCGCTCCTACTCTCGTTAATTTAATGCTAAATTTTGTGATGTAACAGTACCTGGCTGTGCTAGATGTCTGATTTAATTCGGAATATAATTTTGTATTGTATGATTATTATTAACTTTCATCTTTCAAAAGTAAAATGGTTCTGGAAATATGAAAAAGGGGCAATAAGTAAATCACCAATAGTGTGGTTTATGATCTCAAAATGGAGTTATTAAAAGTAGGCAGGTAAGAAATTGTCAATATATATAATGTAAAAAAATCTTGAATAACAATACACCAAAGAATTTGGTAAATCTGGTTGTTAGTATAAATTAAAATAATACTTAAAGTAGGTATATACGGAATTTATATAAAGTTCTTTTTTTGTTTGTTTTTAAGTTACGATACATTTCAAATAAAGAAGTTTAGCAAAAAAATTAGTTAATTCGCATACTTAATACACTGTTTGGGTATAAGTAAACATTCCATAACTCTTTCTTGTCTCAAGTTTCCAATAAACAAAACTTTTTTAAATTACTGGTTTTCACATATAAATATACACCTTGTGATTTGGTAGACGTTTTTATTTTATTCAATTTTATTTCATATTCGAGTACTAAAACTGGCAAAATTTTCGCCTCAATATATTTTCATTAAATTTATTAAAAACTTCTCAGTTAAATTTTGGTGAGGTTAGGCTATGTTACGTCAAAAAGGGTTTTATCGTATTGTTAAAAAGCAGATCTGCTCTTGATATACTGGGAATGCAGATATCATAAGAAAAAAATATATATTTTTTTTTCTCTACAATTAAGGCAGAAATTTCGGATATATATACTTATATTTCTTGAAATTAGCTTTGAATTTATCTTGCATGCTCATAAACCTAATGCAGACATTCAATTAATCTTTCTCTCTTGATTTTTTGGGATACATATCAAATTTTTGACCAATTACCTTCGCACATATCCTCCTGTTACATGCGTCCCTCGCCTCTCCCCATATACAATAATCCTTTGGGTCTGCTTCGCATTCGGCAACACTTCCGCAAGGTTCGCAAGCCCATAAAGTAGCGGCCGATCTGCAACAGTAAGAACAATTCTAGAAAACCCAGTTTTCACACGAGCATAATTGCCTGTTCCGCCGAAGGGGGCGCTATTGGTATTGTCGTATAGAAATGTGCAATTGCAAATGGAGCTATTTTATGATTTAATATACTTTCTATTGTGAAGCGGGATGAGTGATTTGAGTGGAAGGAATTTGGCAAACGAGTATTCGTTTAGAAGAGGAAACGTTTGCCTATTAAAATAAAAAACAGGCATGCTAAATTGATTTTTGTTGTATTCGTTGGCGGGAATTAGTAAATATAGAGGACGCGAAATTTAAGCTAACAAAAAAAAGAAAAACCATTGGGGAGATATCAGGCTACAAATTATTTTATCTTAAAAACGAAAATTGATGGAACAGTAAAATATTATCGAAGTATTACTATTATAAAAACACTCTCTGCATATTTTTCTTTTTTTTTCAATAAAAGTGTGTTTATATAATAGTAATTTTATGGTAATATTTTATTGTATT